TATATATATATATATATATATATATATATATATATTTGTTTATTTATTTATATACAGAATGTTCCAAATCATCATTCTCAAACTTCGCGAGAACATAGAATGGAGGTAAACATAGAATTGAGGTGAACATAAAAGTCCCATACCGTTTTGTGATATTTCTAATAAATCTGGAGATATTAATTAAAGAAGATTAGAGAGAGTGAATATCAAGGTAGATAAGCTATAATAGCGACGTATTATGTGTTTGTACATAAAGTCAAATTAAATAAAACTCTTTATCATTTTGCAAACAACCACATAAATTTTTAGTTATTAATGAAAGAAAGTTGTTACATAATTGTTCGCGATAATATACAAATCTGCTTTAATTAATATTTAAAAATCTATGCGGTCATTTGGAAAATAATAGAAAACTTTCTGTTTAGTTTGACCTAATGTACAAGTATACAATAATAGGCAGCATCACTGCAGCTCATCAGCCATATCGCACGTGATTATTCACTAATCTTCTTTAATTAATATCTCGAGAGTTATTGCAAATGTTGCAAAACGGCATGAGACTTTCTTGTTCACCTTAATCGGTTCTCTCGTGAAAATGTAGAGCGGGTCGAGGTGAAGACAAAAGTTCCATACCGTTTTGCGATATTCGTAATAAACCAAGAAATTAATTGTATTAAGAAAAAGTGTGTGATGATGTCGGCGATTGGGAAAACAACGCATCACTGCTTGTGGTCACTACTCCTGCATCTCACCTTGGCGAGACGTAGAAACGCAGCGATATAAGCACAGACAGTGGCGAGTTGTTCTTCCAATTGCCTGACGTCAACATTCGGGCGCTATATTACTGGGCCGCGTTGCGTCTTAAACGCTCCTTCCTTTGCTATTCAGTGCACGTTTTTCCTTAATCTTTAAATTAATATCAATTAAATTATTATCAATTAATTTTTCCACTATTACTACAAATATCGTAAATCGGTATGAGACTTTTATGTTTACCTCAAACCGTTCTATTCTCTCGCAAAGTTTGAGAATGGTGATCTGGGACACCCTATATATATATATATATATATATATATATATATATATATATATATACATATGCATGTTCCAATTAACTCTCAATAAAATCTGCAATATATGCGTTACACAATGAATAGAAGATAAAATTAAGGTCAAGAGAATTTTGGAGCTTAGATTATAAACTGTTACGTACCCCTTTGTATCTCTTGGCATCTAAATAAAGTTCGGTGTCGGGTACAAGAGCGAGCTTACATGTATATGGGCGGACAGCAAGTACGAGTAACCTTCCAATGCAGAGAAGCATGCCGACGAATAATCCGTACTCGACGTCGAATAGTATCACGGTTATAAAGGTGATGGCCCAAATTCCAGCATCTATTTTGTCTAATCTCCAGAATTTCATGAAGTCGGTGACCTTCATCAACATTCCTTTCAGCGCTACTACGATTATGCTCGCTAAAACACACTATGATTCCCGATAGACATTATCATTTTATAAAATTTGTTTACAATTTAACATGACATATTTTACGTCTATAATTAATAGAAAATATAGAAATGATTTAATTTTTTTGTTTTAATTTATGATGAAAGCAATAATATCGTGTTGTTTCGAAATTAAAATATACATTGAGTGGTAAAAGAAGAATAATTACTCGTGGCAGAGGTTGAAAGAATGGACCGATCCATAGTAATACGCTGACCAAGATCCCACACGATATCAAACTTGCTAACTGCGTGTGTCCACCCACAGTTTGCTGAATCAACGACCTAGATAACGAAGCCGTGATGGGCATGCAAGAGAAAAAGGAGCCTACAAGATTTCCTAGGCCCTGTAAATATCCCATTTCATTCTTACAAAATGGCAACAATACAAGTATATAATTGATTGAGTTTGAATTTTGAATGTTATGCAACAAAATAAATAAATAAAGTGTCTCCCAGAAAAAACAAAATTTTTTATGAAAAATTTTCCAGAACTTTTTATATATATATATAAAATAGAAAAAATGTTGATAAAATTTTTAGAAATTTTTTCACTACGGGGAAGATAATTTAAAACAACTTCCTCTCTCTCTCTCTCTCTCTCTTTCTCTCTCTCTCTCTTCACTCTGTCTCTCTCTTTGAAATGTTATATTCTTAAACGAATTTTGATACGATTTTTCCTTCTATAAAATGTTATCTAAAGTTTAGTTTTTGAATTATAAAAATAAATAGTTTGCCTATTATGGGTCTAATATAAGAGATAAGCGGGGGTAATGCAATTCATCGTCAGACGCAGGCGTATAGTGCTTGATGCGATTAGCTGATCGATGAATATGATAGCGCTTATATACATTACTTTTATAATTTTTGCTAATATTCATACGTAACGGATAAATAAAAAGTTTTAAAGGAGTTTGGTTTATAATGTAATGTTTGAGATTAAAGTATTCGATTATTACGAGCTTTATTTAACTGGAAAATAAACTTTTAAAATACAAACGAAAGAAGAAAAGTGTTAAAAAATCACAATTTGAAGAGAATAAGATATTCTTGTTAATAAGAGAATCGATATATCTCTCATAATCGTATTCTACTAATTTAAAATATTTTATTTACTGTTACGCACAATCCTTAACGAAAATTATAAAAATAATAAGTATAACTTCTCACATATATATTAATCGTGCCAAAAGCTCTATGCCAATATATGCGTTTGATGGTGAGCTGCGTCGCTCCTTTTCTTATCTTCTATATTCGACCCCTAATAGATAATCTATATATTTTTGTAACAATATATTTTTTTAACTTATAATCAAAAATTGAACTTTAAATAATATTCTAAAAAAGGAAAAATCGTCTCAGTGAGTTAGTTCAAGAATATGATATTTTATGAGTAAAAAGTTATTTTGAATCAGCCTGTATATATGTATAACAGCTATATAACATTTTAATAACATATATTCCTGTTATATAGTTATAGTATAGTTTGAGAGGGAAATTACAATTAATGTGTACATTACATGTGTAATGCACAAATTATATTGCAGATTATATTTCGTTATATTACGATAAAATAATAATTGTGTTTTGTTGGAAATACTACTTTTAACTTTCTATTAACCGGAATTTGCCTAATTAAACTGGAAGTAGAGTTCTTTTTAGATGAAATCATATAATCTTTTAATACAAACCAATTTTACATGTCATTTTGCGTATTCAATTCCACACGTTATTTTACTCTTCTAAGAAAGAGAGAGTTTCAAGTCGCTCTCCGAAGGAGAAAATTGAAATGTTCACAAATCATCGGAACTAAACACAAAGAAGACGCGATTCAAACCTGGGCAACAAGCAAAGTATTGGACAACATCGCAAAAGTCTAAAATATTAAAAGAGAGAGAGAGGAATAGATTGATAATATCAATTCTTGAATATTGTTACATCAATATATTTGTAAAGAGTGCAATAAAATATTTTATAAATTACTCAATTTTCTTTTTGCATTAATTGATTCCATCTTTATTATTCTATATATAAAAACATTCAAGTCATTTAAAAGTGGATATTTTGACAGATATTGTATATGTAGAAAGATGAAATATAAAATATCTTAGAAAGAATAAATTTTTAAAAAATTGTATTCTATCTTGTAGTGTGCCATAAAATAACGAATATCATAAATTTATGTAAAAGGATAACCATATAATTTTCCATTAACAAAATTTTTTGTTTGATTAGGTCAATTTTCGTCCAGACTGAAAGTTAAAAATGACATCAATTGAAAGTACATAAACGATTTAATAATGAAAATGTTTTAGATTAGATTCAAAAGATAATACTTGATGAAATTGATCCGAATGATATTAGATATCCTGTATATATTTTACGAATGAGGACAACCTAATCGATAAGCTATTTTAATTTGAGAAACATAATTCATTATTTATATCGATAAATACATATTCATATTAGATTAGATTCTGCAAAATTCAAAATATTTTCTACAAAAATAAATATAAGGAGAAAAGAAAAATTTACACGCTCACACACAAGAGAATTATGACTCAATTCGAACACATAAAGCGCAAAAAGAAAAATACATTATCTGAGATTACAAATTTCAATGTTTTTTTAACGTCTTTTCATTTTTATCTTTGACGATATGATATCGTAGCTTATTTAAATTTACCTGCGCCACCAATTCTTGATTGGAGTCGACCTCGTAACCCATCTTCTGCGCGAAAATCAATGCCATCGACATCGATATCGTGTAAGCGACCATGGTAATTACGAAACTGTCTACCAGAATGTTGGATATAAGAGATAACGGCGGCACTGACGGAACTGGCAATCTGAAAACCTCAATATTATGATACAATTCCTAATTTATTTCGATGTTTCCCTTTCACAGCTCGCTACAGTCTCGCAAAAAATCCATTATTCTTTGGTAAGTAACTTAAGAGCCAAATATGAAACGATTTGTATATATAATGTGTATAATAAATAAAGTTGCGACATTCGTGATAAACATCTGAGAAAAAAATGATTATATATAATTATATAAAATTAATTATAATTTTGTCTTTATATAGTTACATATACAGGGTGTCCCGCATTATCTCTTAAGGGCAGATTTTTTAGGTAATTTGAAGAAAAATCCTAATGCAAAAATGTCGAGGCTATAATACCTTTCACATTATAAACGATTAAAGTTGATCAATTATACTGACTAAAGTACGCACGCTCAGATACGGTACAACACATAATAAAACAGGTGCATGTACATGTCGTTTCTTTTCCAAATATTGATATGGAAGTTCCATATATGTAATCATAATTTGCCTTTTCTATCATTTGAATAAACATATTGCAAATAATAACAATTTCATCAAAATGTTATGAATAAAATATCACACAATACATTTATGAAAATCAATAAGCTGTCACACATTTGACGTTTCTTTCAGAGATTTACAACTAATTTCATATTTTATGCAAATTCTCACTTATATGCATACATCTGTACTATTATGTTGTACCGTATCTGAGTGCACGTACTTTACCCAATATAATTTGTCAACTTTAATCGTTTATAATTTGAAAAGTAGTATAACCTCTTCATTTTTGCATTAGGATTTTTTTCTTCAAATTACCTCAGGAATCCGTCCTTAAGAGATAATGCGGTAGTGACGGGACATTCTGTATAATCATATATGTCTACACAGAAAAAATTATGTTAAATGTAAAAGGGAAAAAATAGTTTTATTTATTTAAACGTCGACATTCATATGCAATAAGCATTTATATCCAACATTTGTATAATATTTGTATAACATTTGTAAAACATTTTGTATAAAAGTATTTTTTTATTTTGGATATACATATTTACGTATGATTATATATTACCATATAGAGAGAAAATTCGTATATGATTTTTTTCTCGGACGTTGTAAACACGTTGAATTATCAAGTTTTCATACAATATTTCCATAATTTTAATCTTTTCTATTACACCTAAAAACATATAATCTTATCTTTAAAAAATGTCCTCTTATCTAAGGTGTCAAGAGGACATCTGCCTTCTAAAACCAAAATAAAAATATTTTAAGCACAATACTCTTAGTTAGGGGAATTTCGTCTTTTATCTACAGTACAAATCTTGTTGTTCTTAATATAAATTTCTTATAGTAAAAAAGTATTCTGCTTCAGTAGATATATTCTTTTTGATTCAAAAGAAAAAAAAAAGAATAATATCTCTAGTAGATTTCCAATTAATAATTTCAATAAAAGAGAAATATTCTTTTTGGTAAAAGAATTTTTGCTTAGAATATGGGATTATATATAGAATATGGAGAACAGCACTTTGTAACTAGAATTCCTTTTCTCAATGTTAGAACATTTTTGTTGTGGTTTTAGAGGAACCTTCTTGAGGGCGTACATAAGAGCATATTTCCGTTAAGAATAAGATAATATTTTTTGGTTGCAAAATGACGTGTATAGAAATATCAAACTGTTTATATATCGAGTAAACGATTAACAAAAGAATACTTCAGATAAGGCCGCAAGCCCTAAAGAAACATGTATTTGAAAGCAATTGTTGATGTTTGATTGAACACCTGAGAACCTCTTATTGCTAATGACATTACTGATCATTTCATTATCAGCATAATCGCACATACCAACACTCGTGATCGAGTAACAGTTTGAGCTGTGAAAGACAAACTAATTGAATATTATTTCACACAAAGTAAATTTACCCTACTGGTATATCGCCAACTGTCAGCACGTTGTAAGTATCTGCGAGACTCATTTGCATCGATACTAAAGTACCGATTACTACCGCAAGCATTTCTATCGGTATCGGGAAGGGACATATCTTTGCTACTCTTGGCTGAAACCCATATTTTTTCTTCTCAGAACAAATATAATCGTTTTCGTAAAGCTTATACTCAAAAAAATGTTTATTAAATAATATAATATATTAATAGTTCAATGCTTTCAAAACATATTTCTCGACTAGGATATACTCATGCTCATAAGATAAAATTTATATACGATAACAATAAACAAATAGTTCAATCAGATATATTTTATAAACTGATAGTATATAAATTTACTATACGTACAAGAAAATATCAGAAAAGTAAAAGAATATGCCATACTAATATATACATTCCCGAGCTGCAGCTTGCATTATTCATTATTTCTAATGCAAAGAATTAAAATATTATTTTTAATGATAACGTATACGTGTCGCTTGTTACTGCGCCTCAAAATCAGCTGTTTACTCATCGTTACTAAGAGGTAAGCCATTTATTTTATACACAGAGCTTGTCTTACCGCTTCTCGAGCGCTCATTTGTTTATACATTTTAATTAATTATGGAATAAATATTGAGAAAATTTCAAAATGGTGTATAACTTTTATAATTATTTTGACCCGTTCTACTCGTACACGACGGTTGCTCGATCAATTACCGGACACCCTGTATATATATACAGGGTGTCTCACACTCTCCTCCGGGCATTTTGTGGGGACGTTGAACAAGTTGAGATGAACATAAAAATCCTATACCGTTTTGCGATATTCGCAATAAT